GCGCCTCTGGTCGGAATGTCGAAGAACTACAGGCGCGTCCTCCGCGTGTGTCTTGGACTTTGATGAATTCGATTTTCACCAACTTATTTCGACAGTCTGGAAAAAGCCAGGAAAGGGAAGCGTAGACACTTATGGGTTAAAAGTGCCATAACTCAAATTATTTAAAATTCTCGCAAGCAAAAAAAAAAAAAAAAAAAAAAAAATCACAAACAAAACCCAAACTTGTTGAGCAAGGTTCTAAGGCAGGTCCAAGAAAGTTTCAGATCAACAAGAGAACTGGCATCGAGATAAAAGTCCTACAGCCTGGGGACGATTAAAATGCCTAGGCGACACAGGGTTTCCTGGGAGAGACACCACCACCCCACCCCTGGAAATGTCCGGAGGTTGCAAGGCCATCTGGGCCGGCCACAGGGATGGAGGCTCGAGCGAGCGGGGCGCAGGGTTAGAAAGGGGAGGTGTGGGTGTGGGGACAAATCTCCACTCCTCAGAGCGGAGCTGACCTTTTACACACATTTGCCTGACATGTCAGAGAAGACGATTTGAAACCGATTCTTTATACGCCTCGCAGTCCCCGCGACGGCAGCCCGAGACGATCAAGGGGCCGGTCCCAGGAACCCCAGGCCCAGGCCCTGGACAGTGGGATCTCGCTGCTGCCCCGGAATGAGGCTGGCACGGTAGCGGGGCGACGGCGGCCGCTGGCTAAGCTCCTCAGCCTCGCCTCCCTCCCGGCCAGGTGTGGTTCCCGACGGAAGTGAGCTCCTCGGGAGCCCAAAATCCTGTGGCTTCTTTTAAAGCTCCCTTCTAATTAGAAGCAGCGGTGAAATCACCTGAGTGATTTTATCTGTCATGGGAAAGCAAACCCCAACCCAAACTTCAGTTGCCCGTCCCAGAACCACCGACGCCCCCATTCTCCCTTTAAAAAGTTTTTAGTGGAAAAGATGAAGAGCTGGGAAGCCATGGAGGAGTGGGGGAAGGGGATTGTGAAAGTGGGAATAGAAGTGTAAGTGTATGAGTGTGCAAGGGTGTGTGTGTGGTTGGCTCTCTGCGGTGGGAGGAGACTAAAACTAGAAGCCAGAAATGAAACAGAATCGTGAACGTCTTCACCTACTGAGAAACACTTTGATCTGAGATCCAACGTCGAAGCAGCCCTGGGGGTTGCCGACTCAGATCCGCGAGGGCCGGGAGTACCCTGAACCTCGTGGACCAGTGGGGAGGCCCGGACTGGCATCTGGCCCCACAGCGAGCATCCAGGTGCGCAGGACCTATCGGGTCTGGCCCCGTCTCCAGGCCTTGCCCTCCCCCCTCCACATCTCTGGGTGGAGACTCTCCCAGCTCCAAAGTTCCGAGAGGGAGAAGAGCCATGGGAAAAGCGTGTAGATGCCCCCATTGCTTGAGTGCGAAAACACCCCCTCACACTCGCATCGCGCCCAGTACACCCCAGCAGACAGTCGGCCTCAGTTCGCTGCTCAGGGACTGACTGGGAAAGCGGGTTGGGGCTGTTGGGAAAAGCTGGAGCTGATGGCGAGATTGCCGCGGCTATAAATCCATCACTTCCCAGGTCAGTTCTGCGAGGCGAGGAGGCTAGGGCTGGCGGAGTGAATTCCTGGGCTAGTGCGCATGCGTCAGCAGGTAGCAACCCAGCTCTTTATGACCAGGTGAGATGTTGGTGAGCAGGTAAAAAAGGAGGATTTGCCTAAGCGATTCCAGGGAGCGGGCCCGGCCGAGCCCTACAGCCCATGCCCGGCGGGGACCAGTCGCCAGGAGCGCCGAGCCGCGATGTCCTTACTTGCCAAAATGGGGGACTGGCAGGTACGGGGGTTTGCCTTGGCCGGGGCCGAGGTGGGCGGGGGTGAAGCGGGGGAGGGGGCCGGGAGGGGGGAGGCGGAGAGGAAGAGCCGTGGCCCAGGGCAGGAGTGTCGTAGGTGAGGCGCGCCTGGCAGTGCCCAGGAGTGTTCCCAGGAGAGAAAGAGGACAGGAAAAACGAGCGCAGGCGGCGGCCGCGGCGCTGGGGGCAACGTGCGCCGCCGGCGGGCCCGGAGCCGGGGAAAGTCCGGCGCGCGCTCCACAGGTGGCCCCCGGGGGTCACTTGTGGCTTGCGCTGCAGCAGTCCTCCCCCACCCCAAGTAGAAATAGGGGTAGATGACTAATTCAGGAGGGGGGAGGGCGCAGGGCGGGGGGTGCGGTGCGCCGAGAGGAAGCTTCCCTGCTGGTTTCGCCTTGGGTCTTGCCCTAGACCCCAGGGCTGCGCGTGAGGTGGGATTCTGGTGCACCTGTCTCCCTTTGGGTCTCCAAGTTTTGGGGATCTAGGGGGTGTGGAAAATGAAAAGGGGGCCCGATGGACTAGTTGCGGCGGCGAGGTTCTTCTTTTGGAAAATACTTAAAAGAGTTTGCGCAAAGTTTAGCTTCTCACTCAGTCCGCTTCCTGAACCCAGTTTTCCCAGGTTGGGCTCCGGATGGGGGTGACTGGACGATGGGTGAATGGTGGGTGATGAGGCAAGAGGGTTAGAATTTGCCGAAACCAAAGCCTGCGAAACTTGGCCCTCCTCGGTCTCGGGCACCACAAGGCCACTTAGGCTCCGGATCCTGCCCTGCCGGAGCCCCGGAGCTCGACCCAGGCCACGGGGGCCTTCTTCCAGCGCTCTCCTAACTTCCAGACATTTCCCCTACGGGAACCAGGGAAGCTGTGGCCAGGTTGGTGAGGGTAGCAGCCTCTCCCCTGTCGCCCATTTCATAATGAGAACCGCAGGGCCCTCTTTTCGCCCCAGCCAAGCTAGGCCTGGTTAGGGCGAGATTCTGTGTTCCTACGGGCCTGCGGGGCGATTCGAAGCAAACGCCCCGACATTCCCGAAGAAAAGTCGAGGCCCGGCTCCTTCTGGGGCGAGTTCTTTCGCTTGTTTCAGATTTAGGCCATTACAAGTAAGGTTTAGAGAAGTCTCGTCTTCACTACATTCCCTGGAGTTGGGGAAAGGAAGTCATCTTGCGATTTTTACTTCTTTCCCTGCACTTATTTTTATCAACCGTGGGCTCTTTCATACTTCTCCCTCTAGTTAAACCTCAGTAAATGCAATTTTATCCCCAAAGTTTGACTAACTTTGTGGTTTAAGGATGCAAATCCAGCACCAAACACAAATCCTGGGAATCCACATCTTTCCCTCCCTTGCCCCTGTGGGCCTCAGGGCCCTTCTTCATCCTCTTCCCTGGAGGGTGAAGATTGGGGGAGTTCGTGGGCAGAGGTCTTTGGAGTTTTCTGCTCAAGTCGGGCGAACTTCGCTGCAGAATTCCTCGCGGTGAGAAGGCGCCAGGCGCGGCCTCGGCCCGGGGCTGGGCCTCCAGGGGACCCGAGTAAGGTTGGAAGCAGCAGATCGCGGCCTGAAGGGGAAAGGAGGGAACCCTGGGCCTGGCTCCTGCGGGCTCACAGTTTGGCAGGTGGTGGGAAGACTAGATCTCGGGCGGGCACGCAGATTTGGGGCCTGGAGGGGCCGGATCCTCAGGCCTTGGCCTGTTGGGCTCCTGTGTCCCACTGGGTGGTGACAACCTGAAAAAATAGTCATTCTGGCCCCTCGCTGTCTCATTGTTTCTCTCGGCGTCCCTGTCGCTCACACAGATACTCGCTGTTCCCCGGACGCCCTCTCCACGCCCCCACATCAGGCCTGGACCCCCGACCCCTACCCCCAGGCCTGGCGCTGCTGTCCCGGGGTCCGGCGAGGCCGGAGCATTGACATGCAATGAAGTGACTTGTCGTGGTAATGACGCTCACACTAACGCGGCTCGGCTGGCTCCAGGGGCGACCGGGGCAGTGGCCCCGGCCTTTCTTCAGCGCCCGTAAGGCGGGCAGGGCGGCGGCACCGAGCCGGCAGGCCCCAATCTGCACCTCAAAGGCGCCCTCGGCGGGAATACAACAACAGTTTAGCAGCCCCCGCGGGTGCGGAGCCGGAGATCTGCGGGGCGCCGGTCAGAAAGGGGGGTGGTGAGTGGAGAAGATGAAGGGCCTTAAATGCCTCCTCTAGCCCACAAACAGCAAGAAAGAAAGCGAAACTTAAGAGTTGCCTGAAGCATACTCCGGCGACATCTGGGGGTGTAAAATCCCATGCTCCCAGGCCTGGGATTCGGCCTGCAGCTCACGCTCTGCGGCTGGCGGCCGCCGCTGGAAAGGTGTCAGCGCTCCCGGCGGCCTACCTCCCGCCTTCACTCCGCGGGTTGAGCTGCGGGCCCGGGGGCAGCCCGCAGGGCGCGTGGTGCTAGCCCTGGAAGTTGACCGTTTTCTGGGCAGAGTGCGGTACTGAGCCGAGAGCGGGGTTCAGCCAAGGGACTGGACTCGTGTTCAGGAGGGGAAAGGGAGGGCAAGGGCGCGCGGAGGGCTCGGGAGGGCGTCCCTCCAGCTCTTCCCACCCCAGCTCTAGTTTTCTTCCTAACTTTTTTGGGGGCTTCTGGCCTACTTTGCCTGGCTTGGGGAATTTGCTGCCGTCTTCTGGAGGGAGAATTGCCCTTCGGCAGGTTGGGGGGAGGCATCCTCCCTGTTCTTGCCTCGCTTCCACCTGTTAGGGAAAGCTCGATTTGCAAAAGCCTGTACCCCTCTGCGCGGACGCCCTGTGGAAACCTAGGAGGACTGGAGATTTGCAAGAAACAGGCCCAGATGGAGCGGAGGTCGTTGGTAGAGCAACTCTGAGGCCAGAGCTACTGTTGTTCGGGGAGTTTGCGGTATTAGAGAGGGAGAAAGACAGAAACTTTTTTATGGAGGAAAAACGAGGAAGATCAGCCAGATTAATTACTCTGTATTTCGGAGGATCACATCACTCTTTCTCTTTTCTTTCTTCCTTAAAAAATTTCGCTAAAACAGAAGAAAAAAATAGAAAGCCCCGGTGGGGCGAGCAGGCCCCTGTGTGGAGCGGGGGAGCTAGGCTTGCCAACCTGGACGAGGGGCTGGCTCCGGGGCCTCCGGGTTCCGCGTCAGCCGGGCACTGCGCCGCGAGCGCGCCCGCGTTAGTAACATCACCAAATCATGAAGGAACTCTCCTGCTTTAATTAAAAAGGGGGATCTTGGGAAAACTGGAGCAGATTAGCACAGCGAAGAGTTGGTTCCCAGCAATTTATTTTGATGCATGCATGACACGGCGCACACATGTCGGTATTTCGGCTCCACTCCAGAAGCGACAGTGAGTCTCCATAGGAGTTCTGTATTCTTGTCCACACCGCACCTAGGAAACCCTTAGCCCAGACGCCACGTTGAATTATCAGTCGGCCCTAGTTTCATACAAACGAGAGGAAAATCATTTAACCCCTGGAGCTGTCAAGTAACCTCTTCAGGGTACAATTTTTATTTTACACGCGGCAATTAAAGGATCGCAAACCCCAGCCGAGCAACCGGAGCCATTTGGCAAAATCTCCCACCTGGGGGGAAAGCGCAAAGCCAATAAAACTCTCGAGGCGCTGCGGCCGGAGGTGGCGGCTGCCGCGAGCAGAGGCGATCTCTTGTTGGGCAAAAATCCTGGAGTGACTTCGCCGGTCTTGGTTTGGTGGTTATGTTTAATTGCGAAAAGGCTAATAATTTCTAATAAAATTGGACAGGGCCGAAAGGACAGCGCCGTTAGTGGCGGCAGGGGTGGGGGAGAGGTGCTGGCAGCCGGGCCCCAGAAGTGGCCGCTCGGACCCTGCGCAGCTTTTGCGGAGGACATCTCCCGCGAGGAGAAGATGGAGAGGAAGCTGAATGAGGTGGAATGGGGCGGGGGGTGCTGGGGCAGGGGCGCGGCGGGGCTCAGGGGAGATTTCGTCGGCTCACAGGCGGGCGAGCGCGCTAGGAGCAAGTTCGCGGCTCGGAGAGGCCTTTATACCTGGGTCGGAGCGGCCGGCGGCAGATTGTGGTGCTGGCGAGCAATTGGACTATTGTTGATATGCTAATGAGGCGATTAAGCGGTTGGTAAAGAGCTGGAAAAGGGAAAAGTTTCTACCATTAGAGGGAGATCTCCGAGCGCACACGGGAGCTCTTTCCATTCTCTCCTCCTCCTCCTCACCCTCCTCCTCGCCCTCCTCCTCCTTTTTGCCCTCCTCCTCCTCCTCGCCCTCCTCCTCCTCCTCCTCCCCCTCTTCGCCCTCCTCCTCCTCCTGCGCTCATCGCCGGCAGCCAGCACTTTGCGCTTACCCAGAGAGTAGCTCCACTTGGGTGCGAGGCGGAGAGGGGGCAAATCCGTTCACGCCGATCCATGAAAATGCTTTGGAAACTGACGGATAATATCAAGTACGAGGACTGCGAGGTAAGCGCGGCGCTGGCTCAGTTATCCTTGCTGCGGCAGGCTCCGAGCTCTACCTTCCCGCTCCTCCTTCCTCTCCTCGCAGCCAGCTGCGACATGCGGGTGGGACAAACTTTCCCCAGCGCAGCGCCCGCCTCTCGGATTCGCCCGAAGAATGTAGGGGAGAAGATGGAGAGGGAGGATGTGGACGCTCCGTTCTTTCATTCCCCTCTTTCGAAGCCCGTGTCCCACTTTCCCCGTTTTTGTGATCAATTTTGGCTGTGCCTAAGAGTGGAGCGAAGAGACGAGCATGGGTTTTTGCAGGAGTTACTGACAATTGGGCACGCGCCTGTGCACTCTGCGTGACTTTCCAGCGAGATTCTGGGGGCCCAAGTCATTAGGAAAAGAAAGGAAAGAGAAAACCCCTTCTCTCTTTAACTTCCTCTCTGCTCTTTAATAGTGCTTCTTTTATTTATTCTTTCTTTGCTTCCTTCCTAACCTCCCCACCCCCTTTCTAAAAAGGCTCTCTTCTGTTTGGAGAAGGGGCCGCCCGCTTCGCTCTGAGCTGAGTTGCTCCTCCCAGTAAGCGGGTTCAGTTTGGAAACACTCATCTCCCAAATTGCTGCGGGGCTCGCTCCAGGTGCTCTATGTTATTCAAGAAGTTCTAAACAGCTTCTCTCTCTGAGCTACTTGGTTCACCCCGGGGGTAGGGGTGGGGGACTGCACGCGGCACGAAGCCTACTGGCCGCCGGGTCCCCACGCGTCTTCCCCTGGAGCCGCCCGGCGCTCGGCTGCGTGACCATGTGAATCCTGGCGGGGCTGCACACGACCTTTGGTTAGGAGAGTCCTCCGGGACGACAGAGCGCGCCGCTTTGGAGCCCATTTTAAAACCCAGGGTTCCCGGAGCTCGGCTTCTTGGGGAGGCCGGGGAAGCCCCAGCACCACGGGTCCGCTCTCGGGAGGCGCTGGGAACGGGCCTGGCGGCCGCTGTCCTCACCACCCTTACAACTTCTGTCGAAATGAGCGCCTGAGTCACGAGAGGGGGTGGGGAAGGAAGGCCTGCTGCCCGACATTACCTAAATAAATAGGTGGCTGTCCTGGCTTTTGCTATTTTTTTCTTTTCTTTTCCCATTTCTTGTCTGTCTGTCTTTCTTTTCGGCATTTGGAGCTGAGAATGTCAGGCGTGGAGTTCTGTGCGTGTGCGGCGGCGGGGGTCTTGTCTTCACTTGAAATCAGCAGCTGAGTTTATGTGAACGATATGTCACCCGTCCCCTTCCCCCTCTCCTTTCTGCAGACTATTTTAAATCTTTCTCCTTTCAGGGGCCCTCCCTTTTCGCCCTATCGTCCCCCCTCTGCCTCCGCGCATTGGGCACCGGATGATGTCGCACCGGGACTGGCGCGACTCGGGGGGCTTCTATCGCGCGCAGTGCGGGGCGCAGAGACCCCACGTCAGACCATCCGCTTTGTTTTCAGGGCTGGGGAGGGGGGTCCTTTGCAAGCTGGTCTGGGTGAAAGTGAACCCCTAAGTCTCCCAGGATGAGTTGTCCCAGTCTGGGCTGTGGCCCGAGGTTCGGACGCTCACTTTCGCGAAGGCCGAAACCTAGCTCCGGGCGCCGAGCCCTTGGCGGGCGGGGGCCGAACCTCCGCGCCGCGCTGGGCGCCTATGGGACCTACGGGAAAGGCAATGAACTTGCACCCCCAGGGAGGCACCCTGTAGGGGCGCATGTGAATGTGTCTGTGAGCGAGGCAAAAAAAAAAAAAAAAAAAGCGAGAAACAAGGGGGAGCGGAGAATAAAGAGTGAAGGCTGTTTCAACAACTTTGTAGTGGGCGAGCGCCGGAGCAGGGATTTCGGGTTTCCGAGCCGGCTTGGGACTGTCTAATTATGTCGGGGCTCTGCAGGGACACGCAGCAGGCGAGGTGCCGCTTGTTCTGACAACCCAGCGGACAGACTGGCAGCGGCGGACGCCTTGCCGCCCTGGGAGAGAGCGAGCCCCGTCATCTGGGGGGCGTCAGGCGGGAGTGGCCCAGCCAGTCGGACGGGTTTGCGCCGGGAGCCGGGAACCCGTGCCAGCGGCGCCCGGGCTGGGCCGCCTTGCGTCTCTGCGCGCCCCGGGCCGCGTCCCGGCTCCCCCTCCCCGCACCTCTGCCTTGGAGAGCCGAGGGCAGGGCGGCAGCTGCCGCAGAGCGGACGGCTCCGGGTGTCCGAGGGAAGCGCAACCGGCGGCCGAGGCGAGGGCCGGTGGCGGGCGGGGCGCCGGGCCATGGAGGAGCGGCGCGGCGGCGGGCAGCCGAATCCCGAGTCCCAGGCCCGGCTGCGGAGCGGAGGAGCCCGCGGCCGGAGAGGACCGGGAAGCACCCACCGTGCCGAGAGCCCGATGAACGCCCGGACGCGGTCCCCGGCAGCTCCTGCCCGCGACGCGCGGCCCCCACGGTATCCCGAGGTCTGCCTCAGCCTTTTAGGTCTGATTGTCCTCGCTCGCTTCCTCTCCCCCTCCTCTCCCCTCCCCCGCTGCCTCCCCCTCCGTGCGCTCCGGCTCGGCCCCCTCCCCCTCCTTCCCTCCCTCCCTCTTTCCCTCCCTTCCTCCTCTCGGGCTCTCCCTCCTTCCCTCCCTCCCCTCTCTCCACTCCAGGCTCTCCTTGCTCGCCCACACTTTCTTTCTCACACACGCACGCAGACACATTCTCCCTCTCTGCGCTCTCTCCCTCGGTCTCCCGCTCTCCCTCTTTCTCTTTCACTTTTGCATGCCCTGCAACCTTTTAAAATGTTGCCCCTTCCCTGTGATTCGCCAGACGCCGCGCCGCGGCCCCCCGCGCGCTCGCCCGCTCCCTCTCTCGCCCGCTTTTTGTCTCTCGCGCTCCCTCTCCCCACCTCCGATTTGCTACACTGAGGCTCCCGTCAATGGACTGCATTGAGAGCCGGCTCCGGCGCGAGTTGCCTCTCCGCTTCACGCTCGATTTCCAGGCATTCTTCCCTTATTAAGTATTCGTGTAATATTAATAGTCATGAATATCTGCTATTAGGAGGCTCCAGGAACGCTGCCCAGCGCGGTCATTAGAAGCTCAAGCGAAGCCGCCGCTAAGAAAAGAGGGGGAGACACGGATTAAGGAACACGCACACACACACAGACACACACACACTTTTTTCTTTTTCCTTTTTTTGGGGTTTTTCCTTTTTTAAGGAACTTTGAATCATAACCGATCACGGCAGGATAGAGACCGTGGGCTCGACCAGCTGAAGGCGCCGCTCGAATCGGTGGTTCAAGTTCGGATGGACCAGAGCGGGGCTCCAGCGCTCGGGGGAGCGTCGGCGCCGTGACTGGAGTCCTGGGTGGCGCGGGCTGTCGGCGCCTTTTGTGTGGGGCGCGCTCGGGCGGCCGGGCAGCCGGGCTCTCCAGGCTTGCTTGTTTTTTTCCACCCTGACTCGTTACCCCAGACTCTTCGCAGATGTTAGTTCACAGTTTTTCAGCTATGGTGAGTCCCACCCCCACCCCCATCCCTGTTTCCTTAGGAATTCTATGCTGGAAACCTGGCGCTGCGGAGCTGCCCGAGACCTCGGGTTTCACGCGCAGGTTTCCTTCAGGACACCCCCTTTCCATGTGCGTTTCCCTCTTTCCTCCTTTCTCTCGCTCTTTTCCGTTCGTAAATCGAATGCATCACCCCCTGCCCCCGCTCGACCCCTCCCGGCGCGCAGACCTACCTCGCTGCTGCTTCCCAAGGCGTGTTTCTCGCCACCTTCGTCTTTATTTCCTTGCGTCTTCACTTGTTCCCGAGATGTTCCCAACGTTTGATGCTTAATCCGTCTGCAGGAAAAACTCGGCCCGGTGTGCCCCCTACCCTCGGGGCCCGGGGCGGAACCTCCAAGGGTTCGCGGTGCCTGGAATCGAACTCTGTTTGCTTGTTTTGCAAGCGAATTGCAATAGAGGAACATAAAGTCAGGCGTTTCTTCTGCCCTTTGGGGCTGGGGTGGAAGGGGCGGGGGCCTCTGCCCCGGGGTGCACCTCTCTCTTTTAAACCCACTAAGGCTGAATCTTTCTGTTTTAAACCTTGACTTGACGTCGCCCTCTCCCCGTCCAAATCAAAAATCGACCCTGTCCAGAGAAAGGCTCCTAACTGAGGAAGCGGAAAAGGTAGCCCCCCATCCCGCAGTTAAAACCATCTTTAAGCTGCTAATTTAAACGTGTGCTTTCGTTACAGCCCCTCTACGAAATATGTTTCTATTTAAATAGTCATGAAATGGTAATAGTCTTTGAACGTGTATGATCCCCCCCCCCCCAATAAATGGAACAGAGTAAACAATAACGCAGTGGCAGGCAGGTTCAAATCCGGGGGAAAAAAGAAAAGGCCTTTTCTGCTGTTTAATATTTAGCAGGAATTTTAATTTTGCTTAAGGGAGGTCTCATGCTGCAGCTGAACGGGCTGTATTCCGGGAGGCCCTTTTCTGTCTTTTTCCCCTCTTTGAAGGAAACGCCTAAGGAGAGTCTCTTATGCCCTCACGTTTGCACACTCTAATTCCCTGCGTTTTTGGAAGAGCCCGGCTCACTTCTGGGGGTGTTTTCCGAAATGAACAACTTAGAGCTGCTTTCTTTCGGCAGCCTGCCGACGGGAAAGGGCGGTTTCCCACGCAGTCCTGCGGAGTGGATTTCGAGTGCACAGCTGTAACTCGACGCCTGATTTCTTGTTCTTTCCCCTTCCTCTCGCTCTCTTCTAGGACCGTCACGACGGCACCAGCAACGGGACGGCACGGTTGCCCCAGCTGGGCACTGTAGGTCAATCTCCCTACACGAGCGCCCCGCCGCTGTCCCACACCCCCAATGCCGACTTCCAGCCCCCCTACTTCCCCCCGCCCTACCAGCCTATCTACCCCCAGTCGCAAGATCCTTACTCCCACGTCAACGACCCCTACAGCCTGAACCCCCTACACGCCCAGCCGCAGCCGCAGCACCCGGGCTGGCCCGGCCAGAGGCAGAGCCAGGAGTCTGGGCTTCTGCACACGCACCGGGGGCTGCCCCACCAGCTGTCGGGCCTGGATCCTCGCAGGGACTACCGGCGGCACGAGGACCTCCTGCACGGCCCCCACGGGCTTGGCTCAGGACTCGGAGACCTCCCGATCCACTCCTTACCTCACGCCATCGAGGACGTCCCGGTAAGAGGCCTCGCGCGCGCGTCGCGAGAGGGAATGCAGCCCCTACTCACCCAGCCCCAGAGAAGGTACCCGAACGTGCGGCCGGTGGGCCCGGGCTTTCCTCAGTGGTGTTTACCTTTTCAAAATTTCATTTCGCTTTTGGGGTGGAGGTTTTGAGGACCCACGTAGACAACCAAATTTAAAAATTTAAAGTAGTTGAGAGTTCTGCTCCTAGAACAATGGTTCCTGGAGCTCCTTCAAACAATGCCTGCATTACCATTTCCATCAACACAGAAATAAATCAGACGAATGTCACCATCAACAATATCTTCCCCTCTCGAGGACCGTAAACTGTTTCGATTAGGTGAGGCTCTGATTCCACCGCTGAGTCTGGCATGGGGATTTCTCCCTGTCCTGGAAAAGACGTTCAGTTCAACCGAAAGAGCTCATGAAATGCCTTAGCAATTTAAAAGAAAGCTAAAAGATGCACTAGGAAAATTATTTTTACCGATTTTGGAAGTACTAGTGATATCTAAAAGTTGTGTGTATACCTGACTCTGATTAAAGAATAGTTGAGCAGCAAATCCGAGCAAAGGGACATTAAAATACAGCCTTCTTCTCTTCCTAGGGGTGCTAAATGCTGACCTCATAAATCATTAGCTGGGTTCCCAACGCCTATCAGAAGCTGCTACACCCCATATTAAATTAAATGTTTTGAGACTATTGGGCAATACATTATTTGAGTTCTAATTCAGTTATCAATAAATGCAGCTTAAATGATTTCTAAATAAGCATGGTATTAGCACATTTACTGTTTACAATGCAAACCAGGCTATTGATAATTTGAAAATACTTTCCAAAATTAAATTTAAACCAGCATCTCTGCTTCAATTCTACATATTTATGGTTTCCTCACAACCTTCCTGAAACAGAATTAGAACAAACCA